CTCCCAATTTTCCTATTTTAATTAAATTTCCAATTACTTCCATTCCATATTCATTTGCATTTTTAAAACGTTGATTGAATATCTGTTTCCATTTTGGGTCTGTTTTCTCCCAATGAGCACACTCAGTACATTCTGTTACCAAGGTGCACAAGTTTCCAACCTTTTTTCCTAACGTAACACAAATTTTACATGATACTTTAATAAATATATTCCTTGCCAGATTCCCCCCCCTTTTTTATTAATCCAGATAACTAGAGACTACCAAATCAGAGAAAGCAGACATAATTTGTCTTAAAGTCTTGAAAAGGCAAATTGCAGAAAACAAAAGAGACACTGATGGAGCTCATGAGGTTTAGAATCCAACATCCATGCTGCCTCTCCAGCTTTAGAAAACTCTGAGACATTATATTATTGATCATATTCCAGTAATACCATGTCCCCAAGGAAGAGGGGCCTGAATTTAAGATGATCCCTCATCCATCAAAGGAAGACAAGACAGAAAAAAATAACCCCTGCGCAATGCGGAGCATGCATACCTTGTTAGCCCAGCCAATCCCATTTGAAACCAATTATGGTAATCCCCTCCCCACCATATATGTGTGCATGGGATATTCTTGTCTATATGCCTGTAGGTGTATATATGTCATCCCAATAAGGTAGACCAGACTGAGAAGCTGAAGCCATAAAGGTCAAGACTACTTTTATTCTAACAGCTCTAGTCACAGAATCTTGCAAGTCTGAATGTACTTCTCCTTCACTCCTTTTATCTTCATATGAACCAGGAAGGAGTTCGTCTGAGACATTGTTCTGACCCAGCCTTAGCAGAAGGAAGAACCAGTCACGAAAAACCCCTCTTTATTTACCTCTTGTGAATTAATTGCATTCACCCACCGAAAAGTTCAGGCAAGAGTCATTCAAAGCGTTAAGGGCAGCAACAGACCTTATCAGTTCCTTGCGATAATTGCAAGGCATGAGCTCCCAGACGAAAGGCTGCAAATTAAGTTCTGGCAAGCAGTCTTTGTGGCATGAAACACAATGAGCAAAATCTTCAGAAATACGAACTTACGTAGGTTGTCCTACGACAACCACTCTCCTTTCCTTCTATTTATTCCCCAGCCAAGGAAGGGCCTTCATCGTCCATGTGTGCTTTGCTTCCGGAGTCCTTTGTTGTTCACCTTTCCTAACAGCTCTGCGCATATGTGCATCTGGAACAAGCCCCAGCTGTTATTCCTCCTCACTTATCTCAGCCTCCAAAGACAGCTGCCTCTCCGGTGGCTGGGAAATGTCAGACGGCCCTGGCTCTATCTCTGCTTCTGACACAAAGCATCCATCAGAGCCTTCCCCAGACTCCAGAACTGGCCCAAGTTCCTCCCCAACCTCCTCATTGTCCAAATCTGCCGCCAGCTCTGCTGGCAGCTGGCAGGCCACAACAAACATTTGCTCCACCTAGTTTTGTGGCCTGGGGCTCAGGCCTCTCTTATCTGACCCATTGTCTTGGTAGTGGTACTTTCGCCTATCCTTCAAGGCCTTTCCCTATAACCATTACAATATCTATGGGCCCGAAGCCATAAAGAAGGTTATGGCCAAGAAATGGAACAAAGAAAGTTGTATAGTATGCATTCTGGATATGTAATTAATGACATGCAAACTGTAAAACAAAGTACCCTATTTATAAAATGGGTGTCCAATTACATGTTTCCATCTACTGCATATACCCACCATGTATGCATAGATCACAAACACCCTGAATATACTGTAGATCTGTGCCTGCTCTGAAGATGACTAAGAAGAGGTGATTTGGACTTTCAGGTAAGCAACGTTCCAGTCTGCCATTGATGAAAGCACTTGCGTCTCTTTTTATCCAGACCTCTTCTTCTCTTTGAAGGTATTGCTGCTGCTTTAAGAGTTGATGGGTGGAAAAAAACCCCACTACTTTGATAATTTGATTCACTAAAGCACAGGTTCACACAGGGGCACAAAAATATATATGTTTGCTTTAAAAAAAAAAATAGCAGGCAGGAGCTGTACTCTGGCTTGTGCTAGGTCTGAAGAAATGCTTCTGAGTCATTTCTGAAGTGAATGTAAGGATAAGGGAAATATACCAACATACCAGTATCAGATGGGGGGAGGAAACCAGAATTGATATGATATGGAAGTAACTGCAGTGGGAAGGACAAAGGAAGAAAAGGAGCAAAATTGGGTGGATATGAAGAAAGGAAAGAAAGGGCTAGCTAGGCAGGGAACGGAGGGAGGGAGGGAGGGAGGGAGGGAGAGAGAGAGAGAGAGAGAGAGAGAGAGAGAGAGAGAGAGAGAGATCACAAAGTAGCCAAATTAAGAGAGAGCTTTTTTCAAGAGCCTGTTGATTTTCATCCTCATCTTCAAAGGCATCTATGTATGGGAAATGCAGGAATTTCTGCAGTCTTGCTCCCTGCTTTGCTGTCAAGCAGCCTTTTCTCTTCTTATCAGTAAGACTGTAGAACAGCCCCTTTCCTGAGGCCAGGGGAATTATTTGGAAGAAAAAAAAATCCTCTTTTCTGGTAAATATTATATTTGTTGGAGGGGGGGATTGCCTCAGATTTAATCATAGGATAGCATTCTGGGCCCTCGGGAAGGTGATTGAGAAATATAGTGTGTGTGTTTTTTTAATGCCATCTTTGAGATGCTCAATTCTGGGTTCATTTTTAGTGGCTCATTGAGAAGGTGGTGAGACAGGAAACAGCAATAATAATAACATTCAAACTTATATATCACCCATAGTGTTTTACAGCACTCTCTGGTTTACAATGTTGATGTTATTTGCATATCTAGGTTCTCATTTTACCAACCTCAGAAGGATAGAAAGCTGAGTTCAACTTGGAACCCCTGTCAGTATCGAACATCTGACTGCAGGCAGAGTTAATCTGCAATACTACATTCTAACCATTGCGTCACCAGGGAATGTGGTTGGCTCTGTCCTGAAAAAGAAGAAAGCGTGAGGAAAAGATTGAAAACAGCCCTATCTTGATCTTGTTATTCTTAACGAAGTCAGGGAAGATTTTAGACTGATTTTCAATGGCTTTCCAAATCAATGAAATAGTATGGATGGAGGTTTGTTCTCTGAGCTTTGGATTGGTTTCTGAACATTTCATTACCAGACTAGGTAACATCTTTAGCAGAATTTAGGAAATGTCAGTCTTCATGTTCATCTGCTTATAAGGACTTCATGTGGTCAGTAGGTCTTGTGATGGGAGGGTCACATCGGGTGAGGGTCTTGTGATGAGTCAGGTGTGGGTGACCCATCCTGACCATCACAAGACCCTCACCTGACATGACCCTCCCAACACAAGACCTACTGACTACACCAAGCCCTTATAAGCAGAAGAACACCGACACTGATATCCCCTAAATTCTGCTGAAGATGTTACCTAGCCTGGTAAAGGAATATTCAGAAACCAACCTACAAGAACGAACCTCTACACCCGAGCTAAAGATATTTGCTACTATCACAATGAAATAGTGTTTTCTGAAATTCTTGTTCTGCCAGCTAATTAAGAATTTGCAGGACAGATACTGAAGCAAGAAAATGCTTATTTAAATTGTCTCTATTAATTAGTTATAGCACCAGGGATCCTTCTTCCATCTGTTACGATGAGACTGAGTGGTGAGGACAGTCTTTGGAGTTCTGCTTGCAAAACGACTGTTTTCATTGGGCAAGTTTTAGAGCCCTGCAACTTCTTTTTCCCTCTCCAGGCCCAGAATTGCTCAGTTTAGCCACTAGCAAAGGAAGGTTAGATATTAACAAGGATTAAGTGTCTAGACAACAGAGGGAAATATTTCTTTGCTTGGGGTTAGACCTGAGAGTCTGTTTCATCTCACAGCTTGCAAAAATAAATAGGAAGCACTAGCTTGTCAAATCAGCTTCTCTCCCAGGTGTTAGTTGAAAAAAATGCAGGTCAATCATGGGACAAATAATATTCCTGATATCCCTGCAGTGTCAATTTCTTAACCTGATCTACTATGAAGAGCTGTCAGGTTAGCAGTTTTCCTTAGACCTTTCCATCTCAGCACTGGGAACACTTGTGAAGTACAAAGATTTCAAAGCCAATCTTTTGTTCAGAAGAGAAAACAAAACCAAAAACAAACAAAGGATTTCACTCAGTAGGAAAGCATAAATTAAAAATAAGGCAAGCAATCTTTTTGAATTTAACTCAATTGAATGTTCATGAAATAAGAATACGGTTTGCAATATTACAAGAGCCAACACAGACATGGCTAGTTTCCTCCAAAATAAGACCCAACTAGAAAATAAGCCCTAGCATGATTTTTCAGGATACTCTTAATATAAGCCCTACCAAAAAAATAAGTTCCACTTAAGATCATCAGCCAGACTGATGCATTTAGTACCATATTTCTCCAAAAATAAGACCATTACCAGAAAATAAGACTTAATGCATCTTTTGGAGTAAAAATTAATATAAGACCGGTCTTGTTTTTGGGGAAACACGGTAGCGCTATGAATATATAAAATGTAAGTAAAAGGGATTATCAAGAAATGTAGCAATAGAATATTTGTAGATTGAATTTGGAGTCCTTGGTGACTCTGAGCTTGGTTGTTTTCTTGCAGATGTTTCACTACTCAACTAGATAACATCATCAGTGCTAGAGAGGAGCAGCCTTTGCTCTTTGACAAGTGACTTGCCCTGTCAGTATTGGTGAAAGTGTTCCCATTTATCTAGCTGAGGAAAGAAATGTCTGCTAGAAAATAACCAAGCTCAGAAAGCACAAGGACTTCAAAGAAAAATAGATATCAGGGTGATATTAAGATAGGCATTTGTGGAGGTGGGCATGTAATGAACTTGTATCACAATGTCACAATGTAAGTATTAGACATGAGGATACACATATATTAAGGATCCTGGTAGTGTCTGGGTGTACTTGCTTTCTTGTAACATTTCATTACTAGGTAACGTCATCAGTGCTATTGCGTTACCTAATTTGATTAATGAAACCTCTGCAAGAAGACAACCAAGCACAGAGACCACCAAGGACCCCTCATTTCAACCCTGAGCTACAGATATTGTCCTTTATTGGCAGGACATATATTATGGTAGGATTTGCATCATTTTGTTATTAAGTCCTCATTGTTCTGTCTAGCTGCAGACCCCTATGGATATTAAGAGCATCAAAGCTGCGCTGACCAACTGTAAACCTAAAATGGTAATTAACATTGGAAGGGATCCTTCTGGAATGAATAGAGCTGGTGTATTGTTTTCCCACAATTGAATCAAGAGTTGTGCAGCATATTCATATACTAATGTGGGAGTAAATCTCAACCATGCTGAAAATTGTATTTTGAGGGTTATGGTCCTGATATGACTTCTAGTGTTTTGAAAATGTCCAGTTATCTAAAGTAAGCAAACACTGTGAGGGTTGTATATAGTTTTTCTAACATTTGGATACCTGTCAGGAGCCATAGAGATGACCCTGGAGAAGCCATTCAGAAGCCACTAAACAATAATAGGTGTGTTAAACATGCATTAAGATTGGGGAAGTGGGAAAGATTTAGAAAGAAATGCAGATGGAAGAAAAAACAAAGGTGGATTTTCAAGACTCTGTTGCTATAGTTTATTTGAATAAACTATGGTGCTAGTCTTTCAGTGAAATAAGTTTCTTGACTTGGTCTAATTTGTAAGGTTAACCATACCATCACAAGAAGAAACAACAACTCTCTGGATAAAATGCTGTTCCGAAATTATTCTATTTAATCACTCTTTTAAGCCATTTTTTCCAAGATGAATAGTTTTTGACTTCCTTGCATCAGTTTCCAGGAACTTTATGAAACTTTTCTGGAATGCCAATATTTATTGCTGTTGTAACATTGGTTTTTCCTACAAGATAAAATGATAGACATTTATTTAGTCTGGAAAAAGAGACTGCCTCCTCTACTAATTCTAGATAATACTTCTTAAGCAATTCCAAACTTAAGGCTATCTTCTTTAATTAACTGCAGTTATGTACACATTAAATCTTCTGCTGTGTCGTAAGTGATCTATCTGTTGGGAGCATTAAAACATAATACTTAGGTAGTAATTAATTGTAATTTGTCACCATAGGAGTAGAGAGTGATTTTTATAGAAGATTTAGGGTATATAAATCTGAGAAGATCACAAGACCCGCTCAGTATCCATTATGAAGGGCAACTATGCAACACAATCGACTTCGTTTGTGAATTGCTAAAGTTACTCTCTTTAGATTGTCTTCATCTAAATAAAACCTTGAATACAATGCCAGATGGGTTTCATTTTAATGGAATGTACTTACTATTGCTAAGCATGTTAAGTTAGCGACTGGGTAATGCAGAACACCGGGCAACCGTTCTACAAACATTTGTGACAGATGCACAGCCCTCTTTGCCATCTTGCCATATTTTGACTGTGTGATTACTGAATACACAAGGCATTAAGCTACCTCCAGGGCAGAACAATCCAGAACAGATTTTGATGAAGTAGAAGCCATACCTGTTTCTCATAGCCTGCACAGATTCTCTCCCCCATCCCTAATGTCATAGGAGGACCAACACTAGCCAAATTTATTATTATGTTGCATAGAGGAATGGGCTTTCTGCCATTAGGATTATAAGGCTCATTTCTCCCTTCTAGGCGCCAATAAGCATCCTATGAAAAGTCATGGCCCTGTTGGCAATGAGAGTAACAGACACTTTTAGTCGTGAATTCCAAAGCTCAGAGCACACTGAGTTTTTCTTTCTCTCTTGTAAAGCTTCAAGACAGCTTGGGCGCTTCAAGCGTGCCGTAATTTGAAGACATTAAGCTTTTTTATTTGTCTCTGTTTTAAAAAGTCTGCAGTCCAAGCACGATAGTTTGGCTGCAATTATATATTGCTTAGTTTTATGGCTCTGCGCACGTAAACTCTGGAGCTTATTCAGCCATGAGTAAATCCTAAAATGTACAGATCATTAGAGGAAGTATTGAACCATTTACTTGTAGAACGGGCATAGATTAACTGGAAATGGATGATGCTTTATTTAAAAAAAAAAAACACCAAAAAAACCAAGATACCATCAACTGGAATACTTAATTGTCTCTTTTTGGGTGGGGGTGAGGGAATGCCTAATTTTGGATCATGAAGACTTCCTTCAAGTTTTCAAAATAACTTGCACATAACAACTAATTATGCTTAATATTTATATTAAACATCCTCCAGATCAGGGGTGAAATGTTCCCGGTTCGGACCGGATCGCCCAATCCGGTAGCAATGGAGGCGGGTGGTTCGGAGAACTGGTAGCAAAAATCCCTCCCCCCCCCCATGCCCAGCTGAGCCACACAATCATCAGAGGCTTTTTTTGTACTTTTAAAAGCATTTTTTCTACAACCTCTTCAGCCAAAAAAATGCTTTTAAAAGTAAAAAAAAATGCCTCTGATGATCGCGCGGCTCAGCTGGGATTGTCAAAGGCTTTTAAAAGAAAAAAAGCCTCTGCTGATCAGGCAACTCAGCTTGGATCATCAGAGGCATTTAAAAGAAAAAAAAACCCACAGGCACGCCCACAGAACCGATAGTAACAAATTTTAGATTTCATCACTGCTATATTATTTCGGTCATTCCCCCCCCCCCAAGAAATTGGTGGAGTAGATTTGTATTAAGGGCATACCATGGAGATTCAAAAGTGACAAAATTTGAATCAAATTGGAAAGTCAAGATTTAATTTCAATCGATTTATCATTTGATTTAGTAAAATGCCTGACTCGCGTGGAAAAGCATCAAGTGCCTGCAGCTAGTTCCTCCCCACCCCCACCCCCACCCCTCATAAAAGGAACAAATGTAATAGGAATGGTAGGCCTTTTAGGGGACATTAATCCTGTTTCAGCCAGATAGAAAGGCTTACGCTGCAATACATTTTGAAATATTTCCCCTGCACCTTTTAAAAGGCAGAAATAGAAAAGGACAATCCAGCATCTTCCAAATCTCCAAGAAGCTCCAGAGCCTCCAGAAAAGCTATTCAGAACTAAAGAAGAAAGTCTAACTTAAAAGGAAAATATTCAATCCTAAGTAAAAAGAAAGGGTGTTTCTCGTTCTTCCTGAACAAGAAAACCTTAGGTACTGCTTTTGCAACATTATTTTTATAAAATAAAGTTTAAGGAGTATCTGTGTTTGAATCATTATTTTGCATCTAATGAGAATGATAGAAAGAAATTGTGTTATATTTGAATACAATATACTGTATATGTGCTGGTTACTCCCTTAATAGCTCTGGGTGTCTAACAGGCATGATCTTATTTATTTATTCAATTTCTCTTATATTAAATAATTTACTTCTGACCATCCGAAAACTTTCACGGATGACATGATTCAACTGAATTTCCTTCAGGGTCAAGAATGCCTTTGAAAATGTGGATAGCTTTGATGTTTTGGTGTTGTAAATGGAGAATAAGGAGACTGGAAATAACTAAGCTTAGAATAAGCTACAGATACTCCTTGACTTATAACCATTCATTCATTTAGTGGCTGTTCCGATGGCATTGGAAAAAAGTCTCTTACAAGCAGTCCTTATGCTTATGGGTGTAGTAGCAGCCTTATGATCACAGCAGAGGAAATTCAGCCGGTTCTGACCAGTTCTGGAGAACCAGTAGAGGAAATTTTGAGTAGTTCGGAGAACTGGCAAATACCATCTCTGGCTGCCCCCCCCCATCTATTCGCTGTCTCCCGAGTCTCAGCGGATCTAGCCCCAGCTCATTGGCTGGGCCTTCTTTTGTTGCCCTGCACAGGAGGGAGCTGGAAAGCAGGTTAATGGGGTGGGGAGGGAATGGAAATTTTACAGAATCCTTCCCCTGTCACACCCACTAAGCCACGCCCACAGAACCGGTAGTAAAAAATGTTGAATCCCACTACTGGATCACAGGATCAAAATTTACTCATTTAGCAACCATTGTGTATTTATAATGGTGGCAAGATCCCAACCACGTGATTCCTTTAATAATTGCAGTGATTCATTACTGTTAAACCATGGTTTTTAAAAAAGTTGTAAAATTGGGTGTAACTCACTCAACAACCACCTTGCATAGCAACAGACATATCTATATGCCATAATTTTGTGTGTTTTATGCAAAGACAGTTATAATATTCCTATATTACGATATATGTTTTAAGATCCTCATAGAATGGTTCTTCTCAACACATACACTGCTGAATGTTACATCTAAAAGTATGCCCACCTATTTTAAGGATAAATGGGTGTTGCTGTAAAAATAATAAGATATCAAAATTCTACATGTGCTCACCAGTCCAAAAAGATAGAGTATTCCTGCTAACATTCAGAAATAAATGACATCTTACCAAGTTGCCTTCTACTTCCATATAATTTGAAAAACTAAATTAGCTAAGTGTGGAGCTAATCTCCTGAAAACTCTTCTTTGCTCACATTATATCTCCTTCCAGTAAGTTTTGGACAGCTGCTTAAGTAATCAACTAATTAAATATGTATCCCATCAAGCTATGTGACTCAAAGCTGTTTTGAGAAAAAGAACAAACTGATGTGCACTAAAATCAAAATAAATAAGAATTTGACTGTTCATAAAATAAAGTAATTCAACAATTACTTCAGTTATTCAATAACCCAGCTTGGAACCAACTTCAAATGAAGGTAGTGGGACAATCATCTGTAACTGAGCTTAAGCATGCTTGGGATAAACACATGCCCATCATCCAATAAAAATTAAAAACTAAACTAAAATTAATTAATAAATAACAAAACAAAAATAGAACAATAAAAAATCCTTCAAAGGACAGAATATTGCTTAACGCACTGTAAACTGCCCTGAGTCTCCGGAGAAGGGTGGCATATAAATCAAATTTTAAAAAAAATTGATGGATCATTAGGTCTTTTTCTGCTATCAGGTTTCTAGGTTTCTAAATTTCTAATAAGGGACGTGGTGGCTCAGTGGCTAAGACGCTGAGCTTGTCAATTGAAAGGGAATGGGATGAACTCCCGTTACTTGTCCCAGCTTCTGCCAACCTAGCAGTTTGAAAGCATGTTAAAAATGCAAGTAGAAAAATAGGGATCACCTTTGGTGGGAAGGTAACAGCATTCCGTGTACCTTTGGCATTTAGTTATGCCGGCCACTTGACCACGGAGACGTCTTCGGACTGCGCTGGCTCTTCGGCTTTGAAACAGAGATGAGCACCGTCCCCTAGAGTCGGGAACAGCTAGCACATATGTGTGAGGGGAACCTTTACCTTTACCTTTTAAGTTTCTAATAAAAGCAATGTCTTCTCTAACCAGATTAAGCCATGACACTGTGAAGACAGGTGGCTGGAACTCCCCAAATCCTAAGGAATAGTTTGGTTTTCACTATGATGTGGAATAATATTAGAGTCTATAGTCTAGCTTGGAGATGGGCGAAGGCTCTTCCAGACAGTGGGCACCCTAACCAAGAATCATCACCCTGACCAATCTAATATCCAATCTACTAAAGAGCAATTACATCCCTAGTTAAGAGGAACAAACCTGATGGGATGGCTCTACCCGGATAACACAGTTCTGCAGGTGCTCGGGAACCAAGTAAAGGAACCAAAGTAAAAAGCCAGCTCAGAAGCTTACTGGCATAAAAGCAGAACCCACAATATAAATGCAATAAAGGATAAAGCAGTTAATCACCTACTAGCATGCAAGCAGATGCCTTTGACCAAAAGCAGGTTCTGAATAGTATTACAAAACAAATAGCACTTAAAGCTTTACTGTGTCAAATAATTAGGGCTTCTCTGCAAGCTTTCATTGCCATGTGTATTGCATGCAATCCTGCGTGTTTTATCTGATTTGCAAAGTTTGTGATTTTAACTTTTATTATAAACTCTTCCCAAGAGGGGTTTTTTTTTA